AATCGGTCTATACTAGTTCGTGAAAACGATATTGGATATTGAGGAAGAAACGAGGGCAAAAATCGGTTGGTTTAGACTAGGGAAAAGGTATTGGATATTTAAATTGCTGCGTCACTTTAGCAGCCGTTAATGTCACATTGGAGGGTTTTGGTATGTATTCTATTTCTCTAAGTTATTGGGATTAGCAATGGAGAGCATTTTCAAAGGAATGGCTCGTGTATGATGCATTCATGCAGTGTCCTATGCTTTCGGCTGAAAGAATAGCAAAGTATTTGGCCGGAAAGCATATACGATACTATGACCCCGGTGGTATGTTCATGCCGTATTTTTATTTCAAGGTGACTTTGGAAGTCATGTTATTGTGGTTAATTCTAGATACATCGCTGCAAAAGATAATAGCCGATATTGGAAACGGTTTTTATATACTACACATACAAGGTTCGGACTTTTTGATGCAGTTCTCACTTTAGGTTCCCTGTGTACCGTGTTGAAGAAACAATGGAGGAAGTTCACCGGCGCGACCCTACTGAGGTAAGTAGATGATTGTGGACTTACAAGTAGTTTGCATTTGTGCACGCTAAATGACACATTCAGTATATCAGATGTTTTGTACAGGTTATGATTTCGATCACTATCCAGCTTCACTGAGTTCCATCATACTTAATTGTCAATGTTAAACGTAGATGAAAAAATGAGTACGAACACTTTAGATTCCTAGTACTGTTGAGATCCAGTGTTTCGTAAAAGTTGTCAAGACGTAGTGTTTGTGACTGGATTTTTTTATTAAAAGTTCATGGTTTTTCTCATTGTGGTTAACTGTGTGTCCGTTTTATTACTCAGATTAGATTCTATCTTTCAATACGCAATTATTGATAGAAACTTCCCACTGACTATAAAGTGATTTGGATCATGGTAACTAATTCGTATCACGCTTCACCGGTTACCTTCAGCCACCTAACCAGCCTTCAACCCCACTTTCTCGTTATTACTACGTATTGTTCCTCGTATATCCTCAAATATTGGTAGGAAAATCATGTGTACAAATTGTAAGGTTTTTATAAGCTTAGTTTCTAGTATTTTCATATTTAGTGTCAGTGTATTCTATTAATTGTAACAACACAGTATTTGCAATCTTATTGTTAACGATAAAGTAGCAAGTACTATTTACCAACCTTACAAACAAACATTTTTAAGGTTTGGAACTTTTAATATTCAGTCCTTTTCAGTCCTCATATACGTACATTTGTTATGAGGAGTCAACAATCGTAACGTTGGAGTTTCATAAGGAGTTCCTGAACTATACTATTTACTGTTTGCCATTCACCTATAAAATTCCTACTGGCGACGTAATCTGATACTCTAAATTGTGCTATCTCAAATGATCAGTGAGGACTTCGTGCGAATTTGGATTATTAAGATTACATACTTATGCTAAGCAAACATTTTATCCCTCTGTATTTAATTAGAACTAGCGATTGGCACTATTCTATTATTATTATTATTATTATTATTATTATTATTATTATTATTATTGTTAAAAATAAATCATTACGCGTATATTTTATCCCGTAAGTTGCTATTTATATGGTTGGAAAAACCTAGATACATGACTTAGTGACCATCGTTAGCAGTTTTTCCTAAAGTGGTTGATAACGCTTATATCTTCAAAAAGCCACAAACATATCAATGCTTTACAAGGCCTAATTAATCACACTAGCTTCTAAGTCTCTACTAACGTTGGTCTCTAGTCAGTTTGTCGAAACTTTTATACGACTAGGTTTTATTATTTATTTCTGAAAGCATACCTCTAACATTTAAAACCATAATATAAGTTTTAAATACTGAAATCCATTGGTGACTGTTATAACGTCTCAGAAATTCCCGCAACTATAGTTGTATAGAAATTCAATTCAGGACTTTGATAAAATTATTGCTGTCGAAGTAACATACATGGGGGCAACCAACCCAAGGCGTGGCATCAGTCTATTTAATCACTTACTGTAGGGTTAAACAGTGTTTGTTGATACAAACTACCTGTCTAGTGTGTGCGCAATTATGGTTACTAATTTTCAAAGATATTGAGTAACATGACTCAGAAATGGTCACAATGACGTAGATGCATTTGATCCTTGTCCCTTTTAAATTTTGATTTTAAGATTGATCTCTTACTTTCCTATTCCGTTGGTCTATTTCCAATCGTAGTGTCCATGTTTAATCACCGATACTGTAACTACTCCGACTACATCATTTATCTTGATGTTTTCATCTTAACCTTCTTATGTTTGACAAATAAAACCGATATACATAAGTGCTGGATTCTGTTTTTCATAAATAATTGATTAAATCCCCCCAAAAGATTGATACTAAATCACTTTTATTTAATCAGGACTCAGTAATAACAGAAAAGCTACTGTAGATTACCACTTCTCATCGATTTCGTTCACTCTGTTAATGAACATCATCATTATTCTTCACCACAGATAATATCCACATTTAAATCTACAAAACATTCTGTACGAAGTCATATCCCTTTTCTAGTTATTCCTAAATGACTCACATCGCCCACTTATGTGTGTCAGGGATCTATTGATTGCATCGCCTTGTTACATCTGCTTCAGCAACTGTGTAATATTACTAGACCTCAAAAGTAGCAGAGCTTGACTCCATGTAAAAATTTGTATTTGATGTGTAATATGTTAAATATAGGACAATTATTGTAACATTTAGTCATTTCCCACGAAGTCGTGAAGCATATCTTGTGGCATTACACTATACTGAAGATGGTGAGAAACCAACAATCAATTAAGGATTCTTTGCAAACTAATTGCATCAGTAGATTCATGATAACTATGACACACTCGTTTCTTGTACAGATTAAAATAACCATGACTTACAAGAAAACTTGCTCATTCTCTCATAATTGATACAAAGGACACCTGAATAATTATATGCTACAAATTAAGGAATTTATGTTTTAACTGGGATACTGCACAGGTGCTAAAAATCAAAGCAGGTGGTTTTCTCAGACCACTTCTCGAACGCTTCACTTAAAGGTCTGATCCACAAAGCAGTGGAGCAACTTTAGAAAATGCAGTCCTATGATAACCGACCACCAACAACAGATTCGTACACCATTTCTTCTCAGGATCCTAAAGCGCATGTAATGACCACCGGTTTAAAATAAAGATTTTCCAACTCCCTTAAGTTCATCCTCTGTGCCATGTAACCTAATTTAAGTGTAGGACATTGGCTTTTTGTTCCTTCAGTTTCGTAAACAACACTTGTCACGAGAGGGTAGTGAATAGAACTTCCCTGGCCAATGGTTATATGCTTGTGGCCAAATGATAGAATTTCAAGAGGAGGAGCAGCGTATTTCCTGTCTTCGGACGTACCACAGCATTTATCAGATACAACCGTGTAATAGGCTTCACTCCTGCTGCTCAGTTACTTAAATCGAATTAGATGAGGTCGGGCTCCATGCTGAGATTTAGTTGCTGAAAGTTTAATACTTTAATTACTGTTCTATTTTCATTTTCCAAAGTCATTTTAGTCTTAACCAACGAACGACTCATTAAAATAATAGTAAATTCTATCTAGTTTCTGTCAGATTGAGACGTTTAGTAGTTAGTTTCATAAATGTCTTACTTTTTATTTACTTATTTCAGGTTATTCGTTTAGAAATTAGAGCCGTCTTACGAAATAATGAATCTCGTAAATACCAATTATCTCGTCTCCATATATACCCTGAAAATATTGAAGTATTGATTACTTGTTAAAAAATTAATCATTGAATTTAGACTGTTCCCAAGGATATTATTGCCAATATCTCAGGAGTAATACCACAAGTTATGAGAGTACCAAAGCGTCTTGATGAATATTCTGCTGATGAACTTAAAGTATTTCCAAAACTTTTTGATTGGTTAGTCAGTCATTCATACAACTGTATTTTGTGTTGGTTTTTTTAATTTTATTTACGTGTTATTTTTAGTTGAAACCAATAAAAATCACTTGTTTTTAAATTTGAATAGTTCAGGAAGTGAGAAGTCGTAGACAGCAGTTATATATCCTACTCTTAATTTGACTATAACAAACTATATTGATGACAACAAGTCCTCGATTTAAAAGCTTCAGTTGTTAAACCTATGTTGTGTCACGGAGTCAACTTACACACAGTAACAATCCTCAGTCATAGACGTTCGTGACTTGACCGGATTCATGATGTTGACTAAGTACACACTCTTGGCCGAGGCAGCCTATGTGTTCTGTAACAATATACTATGAATATCATGTGTATCATTAGAACAATAATCGAAGATACTATTCACGAAGTATAATTTAGAGAAATAAACTTAAAAAGACAAAGCTGATAACGAATTCAGAAGGTTAGGATTCGAGAGAACACAAAGAATAAATGCACCGGCGCCATTGCAAATGGTTTTGAGCTATGTAATTCAGGGTCTCTCACCATCGATTACTATCATCTCGCGGACCCCTACCAGGTAATCGACACCTGCCAACATGACTCAATCCAGTTGTCAGTGACTTCATGGATTTTTGCCATATTTTGGTTTGGCCGCCTCTAGTTATCCTCTAACCTACTTCTACACCACAAAACATAGCTCTGCGAGGCAATCGGTGGTTAGGCATACGTAACACATGTTATAAACACCTCAATACTTAATACATTGATCTGCCACCCTTACCTAGGACTCGTTTCCTAACAACAGCATTGCCATGATACACGAGCAATGCTTCTCGGAGACACCTATGATCGCAAACCAGTGAGCTATGAATATCTTCTACTCTTACTGGCCATGTTTCACAGCAAGACCCCTTCCACGGTATGAGCAGCCGGGGAGTAACATACGCCCTCATACTCATAAAAGCACACAAGACCAAATCGATCAGAATCAATTCCCCACTTCACCTACTTTATGGTTTAGGCATCCGGTTAGTATTATAACTGCCCTTCATAAACATATATCTGAAAATTCATATATATATATATATATATATATATATATATATATATATATATATAATATTATTTCATACTACTTATGCGTACTCTTTCTCTTGTACTATTTTCTTTTTAAAAAAAAATCACTCAGGCCCGAAGATTATCATGTTGCTCCGCTTAGCCCGATGGAAGTGAAACTGACAACTCAGAAACCAAAATCATGACATGTTGATATTGTATTTATTGCATATCTCTTGTATATTACACATTTTAGTCATTTGGTTGCTTTTTACTTTTACTTATTGTCGTCATTGATGGCTTGTTTATTATTTTTTTTGATGTAGTAAATGGGGAATTTGTAGCACTACAAATGAAAAAAAGGTCAGGTTTTATAATATATTAGAACAAATATTGCGATAATGCAATTGTTTATTCTCGTAAGCTGAAATGTACTATTCCTGTATGTTCGTGTTATATATATATATATATATATATATATAATGAAGTGGTAACTCGACTTGCAATTAGTAATTAAATTACCTACCTTTAAACATTGGATTACGGCCTCAAGCCATTTTTCCCATCTTGTTTGTTTGAGAAAACAGTGTAGTATTAAAAGGCTTTTCTATCTATCTACTTTAATCTTGACTTGACTTGACTATATCTCCATTAGTGCTGTTATGCTAAATGTATGCCTCATAGTGGAATACAGATACTTATACTGTATAGTTAGCAGGAGTATAGGTTTGTCGTTCAGCTAATAATACATAAAGTATGCTTGCTATACATTCATCACTGGGGTAATTTGAATTGGAAATTATTCAAGGTGAGTTTGTGGTGCGAGCTACTTATAAGTAGTATATGACGTCAGTGTCAACGTAATGTCTGGCAGCAGAAGATGGGCGAAAATCAAGAAAGGAAGAGTTAGAACACAGTGGAATTTGTATGAAACTCATGAATAGTGACAATGGATTGATGTTTAGCAATAGGAATAGTCCAGTTCGAGATGACGGACTGATATTTTGCAAATTAACACGATTTACGATATGGTTTTCCGAATTTACTGAGTAACTCTGTAATTTTCGTTAAATACAATCCGGTTGCCCCACCTGTGTTCTCGTTCACTACAAGTTGAAGCACTCATGTAGTGATTTTTCAAAATGCTAATACCGCTACTCGCATGGCTATTTACAGAAAAACTGCTACTTATTATAATTGGACATAATTAATATTAGTCAATCGAAGACTGTTGTAGATGAAGACTTATTGATGCATGAAGCATTGGTTAAGATGATCGCCAAAAATTACACTGAAATGTCAATCAGTCGGATGCAACGTAGAACTTCGTACGTAAGTACATCAGTTCATGTTGCCATACCACATTAGCACACAGAGATGTAATTGTCAATTCAAATCCAATAGTAGAAGAGGTAGTAAAGGTATTAGAAGTAATCGGAGAGGTTAGGATTAGAAGATATTATTCAAGAAGTATGATTAAGTGAGAAAAGTTTAGAAAGTCAAAACTAGAGGTGTTGAAGAATCCAGAAGACTTGGATTTGAGAGAACACAAAGAATAAATGCACCGGCGCCATTGCGAACGATTTTGAGCCATGTCATTCAGGGTCTCTAACCATTGATTATTATCATCTCGAGGACCCCAACCAGGTAGTCGACAACTACCGACATGGCTAAGTCCAATAGTCAATGACTTCATGGATTTCTGCCATGTTTTGGTTATTCGTAGGTTACTGGTTTCCGATCATAGGTGTCTTCGTAGCATTGCTCGTATATCGTGGGACACCCGAGTGAGCAAAGCTGTTATTAGGAATCGGGTGCTAGGTAAGAATGGCAGATCAATCGATGAAGTATTGAAACTTCACCAGTTGAGGTGGTTGGGACATGTGTTGCGTATGCCCAACCACCGACTGCCTCGTCGAGCCTTGTTTTTTAGTGTAGGAATAGGTTGGAAGAAAGTTAGGGGCGGCCAAACCAAAACATGGCAGAAATCCATGAAGTCATTGACTAGTGGACTGAGCCATGTCGGTAATTGTCGACTACCTGGTTGGGGCTCGCGAGATGATAAAAATCGATGGCTAGAGACCTTGAATGACATGGCTCAAAATCGTTCGCAATGGCGCCGGTGCATTTATTCTTTGTGTTCTCTCAAATGCTAATCTTCTGGATTCTTCAACCCCTCTAGTTTCGACTCTCTAAACTTTTCTCGCTGAATCATACTTCTTGAATAATATCTTCTAATTCTAACCTCTCCGATTACTTCTAATTTCCTTACTACCTCTTCTACTATTGGATTTGAATTGACGATTACTTCTCTGTGCTGATGTGGTATGGCGACATGAACTGATGTACTTACTTACTTACTTACGCCTGTTACCCCCAATGGAGCATAGGCCGCCCACCAGTTTTCTCCAACCAACTCTGTCCTGGGCTTCTCTCTCCAGTTCTGTCCAATGTTTGTTCATTCCTCTCATATCTTTCTCTATTTCTCGGCGTAATGTATTCTTTGGCCTTCCTCTTTTCCTTTTGCCTTGAGGGTTCCATGTAAGGGCTTGTCTCGTGACGCAGTTAGGTGCTTTTCGAAGTGTGTGTCCTATCCACTTCCACCGCTTCTTCCTGATTTCCTCATCCACTGGAACCTGGTTCGTTCTCTCCCACAGTTCGTTGTTGCTGATGGTGTCTGGCCAACGAATCCGAAGTACTGTGCGTAGACAACTGTTAATAAACACTTGTATCTTCTGGATGATGGCTTTCGTAGTTCTCCATGTTTCCGCTCCATACAGTAGAACTGTCTTGACATTTGTATTGAAAATCCTGATTTTGGTTTTGGTTGAAAATTGTTTGGAGTTCCAGATATTTTTCAATTGTAGAAATGCAGCCCTAGCTTTGACAATCCGTGCCCTCACATCTGCATCGGATCCACCTTGGTTGTCGATGATGCTGCTCAGATATGTAAAGGTGTTAACGTCCTCCAAGGCATCTCCATCAAGAGTGATTTGGTTGGTGCATGTTGTGTTGCATCGGAGAATTTTGCTCTTTCCTTTATGTATGTTGAGACCTACTGCTGCAGCGGCTGCTGCTACACTAGTCGTCTTCTCTTGCATTTGTTGTTGAGTGTGCGATAGAAGAGCCAAGTCATCTGCGAAGTCCAGATCGTCCAGCTGCGTCCTAACTGTCCAGTTGACACCGTGCTTCCCTCCAGACGTCGACGTCTTCATAACCCAGTCGATCACCAGGAGAAAGAGAAAGGGTGAGAGTAAGCAACCTTGCCTAACACCGGTCTTCACCTCAAAGGAGTCTGTTAGCTGTCCTTCGTGTACGATTTTGCAGTTGAATCCATCATAAGAATTCCGTATGATGTTGACTATTTTCTCAGGCACACCGTAGTGTCGAAGAAGCCTCCACAGTGTCTTCCTATCCACGCTATCGAATGCCTTTTCGTAGTCGATGAAGTTGATGTAGAGTGGTGAATTCCATTCAATTGATTGTTCCACAATGATCCGTAATGTAGCAATTTGGTCAGTACATGATCGATCCTTACGAAATCCGGCCTGTTGATCTCGAAGTTGGGCGTCTACGAAGTCCTTCATTCTGTTTAACAATACCCTGTTGAAGACTTAGGCTGGTATTGAGAGAAGAGTGATGCCTCTGTAGTTTTCACACTTGCTGAGATCGCCTTTCTTTGGTATTTTGATCAGGTATCATTCTTTCCAATCTGATGGTACTTAATCCTCATCCCAAATCTTCTTGAACAGGATGTGAAATATTTTCGCAGTTGCTTCTACATCTGTTCTCATTGCCTCTGCTGGAATGTTATCTGGTCCTGCTGCTTTGCCGTTCTTGATTTGTCTGATGGCCATACTGATCTCCTCAATCGTGGGTGCGCCAATATTAATTGGGAGGTCCGTGGATGCTGCTTCGATGTTGGGTGGGTTCAGTGGAGCTGGTCGATTTAGGAGTTCCTTAAAGTGCTCTACCCACCTATTTCGCTGTTGTTCAGTGTTGCTGATTACTTTGCCTTCCTTGCTTTTCACTGGTCGTTCTGGTTTACGATAGTTTCCGGCCAGCTTCTTTGTTTTTTCGTACAATTGTCTCAAGTTTCCTTCTCTTGCAGCCTTTTCCGCCGTCATTGCTAGATCTTCTACAAATTTTCGTTTGTCAGCTCTAATGCTCTTCTTCACTTCCCTGTTTGCTTCTGTGTATGCAGCTTGTGCGGTAACTTTCTCTGCTCTTGTTCGGCTGACGTTGATTGCTGCCTTCTTGTTCCTCCTTTCTTCAATTTTTGCAAGAGTATCAGCAGAGATCCATTCCTTGTGATGGTACTTCTTGTGACCCAGAACTTCGTGACATGTTGAAGTGATTGCCTCCTTAATCCCTTTCCAATTGTTCTCCAACGTTGCGTCCTCTCCATTGTGTAGATCCTGAAAGGCCTGGAACCTATTGGTGAGGGCTATCTTGAATTCATTGAGCTTTACAGTATCCCGAAGAAAGGCCGTATTAAACTTGTGCGATGTTGTCTGCCCCGTTGTCCAGTGCTTCTTTAGTTTCAGTTTCATTTTGGCGATTAGCAAATGGTGATCTGAGGCTATATCAGCTCCTCTCTTGGTTCTCACATCCTCCATAGTCCTTCTGAACGTTTTGTTGATACAGATATGATCAATCTGGTTTTGAGTTGTGTGATCCGGTGAAATCCATGTAGCTTTGTGTATGCGTTTGTGCGGGAATATTGTGCCACCGATGACCAGTTTGTTGAAGGCACATAGGTTTGCAAATCTCTCACCATTTTCGTTTCTTTCTCCCAGTCCATGTCGTCCCATGATGTCTTCATATCCAGTGTTGTCCGTTCCAACCTTGGCATTCAGGTCTCCCATAAGAATCGTCAAATCCTTTGGTGAACAATTTTCGACGATTGACTGCAGCCTTTCGTAGAATTGATCTTTAACGTCGTCATTGTAGTCATTCGTAGGTGCGTAACATTGGATGACGTTCATTGTAATGTCCTGTTTCTTTGTTTTGAAGGATGCTTTAATGATCCTCGGTCCATGAGATTCCCATCCTATTAGTGCCTTTTGTGCATGTTTGGACAGCATCAGTGCAAATCCTTGTGTATGTGAAGCATTTTCCTCTTCATGACCAGAGTATAACAGCAGTTCCTCTGAAGCTAGTCTCAGTTGTCCTACTTGTGTCCAATGCGTTTCACTGATTCCAAGCACCTCGAGGTTGTATCTTTTCATTTCTGCCGCAACTTGAAATAGTCTTCCAGTCTCCCACAATGTACGAACGTTCCATGTACCTAAAAGAATGGTTGCTCTGGTTGTAAGAAGAGGCATCGGCCTCGTGACTTCCAAGGGAACTCGGCTTTCATCACGAGACGTCATAATTCTTCCTCCAACTCCCAGGGCAGAGTTAAAATGGTTTGAATTATTTTTTCTGGTTAGCGTTTTTTTGGCAAGTTAGTTTTTGACGGAATGGGGTCGCCAACCCCATGTCCAACCCTCCTCCTTTACCCGGGCTTGGGACCGGCAGTAGCCCCTAAGGTTCTACTGGCGGAGTTATGAACTGATGTACTGATGTACAAAGTTCTACTTTGCATCTGACTGATGTTTTGGTTAGGCCGCCACTGAAATGTATATCATATTAAATATCTGGTCAATAGTTAGATTTTGATGCATCAAACTCCCAATAGCTGGAATTAATTGAGTAATAATTTAATGCATGTATATAGTTTGCAAGTGGACTGAGCCATGTCGGTAGTTGTCGACTACCTGGTTGGGGTGTGCGAGATGATAATAATCGATGGTTAGATACCCTGAATGACATGGCTCAAAACCGTTTGCAATGGCGTCGGTGCATTTATTCTTTGTGTTCTCTCAAATCCTAATGCTCTGGATTCTTCAACCCCTCTAGTTTTGACTTTCTAAGCTTATCTCACTGAATCATACTTCTTGAATAATATCTTCTAATCCTAACCTCTCCGATTACTTCTAATACCTTTACTACCTCTTCTACTATTGGATTTGACTTGACAATTACATCTGTGTGCTGATGTGGTATGGCAACATGAACTGATGTATGTACTTACGTACGAAGTTCTACGTTGCATCTGACTGTCTGAGTTTGCAAACTCAAATTAATTGCTTCAACTAGTGGATAATAACTAAACTTTTTCAGTGAGATTCTGTTTTTCTAGTTGACTTGCCCATCACATTCCCATTTGGATTCGGTTGAAAACGGGGTTTTCTTTTTGGAATGGTTAATTTAAAAATAAATTGTTGTTTTTAATTCCTCCCCCTTTTTGCGAAAAAAAATTGTCCTAAATCATGTCCATTTAAGTCATGTTGATAGGATTAAATTGACGGCAGGCTAACTCGCGTCCTTTTTTAATTAAACAAAATTGACTTGTACTATTCTTTGTTGATACTTCATACACTTATGTTCTTTGTATGCACAGTTATTACTAGACTGATAAACACCATCAAAATACTGAGCATACATGTCCTATTGTACATGCCAGAGTCAATCGAGACTCAGTAGCCAAGTGAATGACGCGACGGCTCTTGAAGCGAACGGTACTAGGTTCAAGTTCCTGGGTGATTGTCGACTCTGAGATATGATGTTTACATCCAGTTTATGGGTCCAAAATAATATGGAATGCATTTCCTGAATTCCACTTCTAGCCACTATCCATATCTGCCTTTAATTGTATTACGAGGTTTTTGGCATATAAAGGTGACAACTGAAGTTTTTTAATTCCCTACAAATTGATATCGTGTTTCAAAGTAACTACACTTTTACATTTCCCTCTCACATTTTAGGGAAACAATGATAATTCTTGCTCCATACTTGGCAAATTACGTAGATAAAATTTAGAATTAACGGGTAACTGAGGTGAACGTAATTTATTGAAGCAAGGTTTAAGTGTTTGCACTAGTCCGAGTGGGTTAGGTAATTGAAAAAAAATGTTTGAATAAGAAATATGCGTATGAAAATACTCTATGTACAACAGAATCAGAATACTGGAACACAGTAATTCAACAAATTAACTCAAAGGTTATAATGGTGGGCGCGGGGGGGGGGAGTTGTAAATGGTTTCGTTTAAGGTTCCATAAACATGAAACTGGTTATCCGAAATTGGAGAAGGTTTTCATGTTAGAGATTGTACTGTGATCTGGTAATGATCATATGTGTATCTCCACCAGCCAGTGCGTCACCAGTAACATAGTCCACGTCACATCATTTTCACTTATCAGGTCTCTAAGCGAAAGAATGATACCTGATAGTGTTTTGAAAAAATTCATACAACCAGCTTATAAAAAATGTAAATGCATCACTTTTGAATGACTCCAAAGTTTAGTATATGTACATTCGGTCTAATACGTTCTAGCCAATTTTGGTATGCTTGGAACTATTACAAGTTCACCTTACTCGGTAAACGAGAGCGAAGATAAATGACGCAGTGACACGATAGGCTATTTTAATCCATTGTCCTCGGCTCGCCTAACTATATCAAGTCTTGATAAGGCGTAGAAAGTGTATTCTAAAAGCACCGAGAAAATATGAGGTTGATAAACACATAAATGGAGCTTATTTATCCGTCCTTGGGCGAGCCACAAAAATAGCGTACTAAAATAATACATCAACCGATGACAGTCAAGGATTTTCCTAGTGGGAAATGTAATTTCAAGGTCAACTGAGCAGCCTATGCACGGAAACACAAAAAACTCGGAATTAGGACATTTTCCAAGTGAGGTCTGGGGAGCTAACCCTCACAACAAATTTATCGTAAATATTGAATTGATTGTAAACGAAGAAGACAATCTTGATCTAGATGAGACTGCACATATATTCTTGTGAAGGTGAAAGTTGAAAATGTCCACAAAGCTAAATTAATTAACTGATATGCATAGGAGAAGCAGAGAAAAGTCTTAATTGAATTACCTGATAACATCACTTACTGCCAGTCTAATTTCAACTGACCGAATTTTTCTAAAATGTAACTACAATAGTCCTGAATGACTGACTATTTTTTTGACATTCATTCAATATTGAACTTTAGTACAGATTAAAACAAAAAAGCAACAGTATTATAAGTTATTTATCTCAGTCAGATGCAACGTAGAACTTCGTACGTAAGTACATACATCAGTTCATGTTGCCATACCACATCAGCACACAGATGTAATTGTCAAGTCAAATCCAATAGTAGAAGAGGTAGTAAAGGTATTAGAAGTAATCGGAGAGGTTAGGATTAGAAGATATTATTCAAGAAGTATGATTCAGTGAGATAAGCTTAGAAAGTCAAAACTAGAGCTGTTGAAGAATCCAGAAGATTAGGATTTGAGAGAACACAAAGAATGAATGCACCTGCGCCATTGCAAACGGTTTTGAGCCATGTCAATCAAGGTCTCTAGCCATCGATTATTATCATCTCACGGACCCCGACCAGGTAGTCGACAACTACCGACATGGCTAAGTCCACTTGTCAATGACTTCATGGATTTCTGTCATGTTTTAGTTTGGCCGCCCCTAGCTTTCTTCCAACCTATTCCTACACTACAAGTTATCTATCTATCTGTAATTAAAAACAGATTTTTGATTGTTAGTTCATTTTATTTTAAAAAATATTATTATTATTATTAGACAAAAATTCATGAAGGCACCGCATTATATATATATATAGATATAGAGCATATAGACACAAAAAATCAATATTTATATAAATAGTAGATGACATGAGTGAGTATTTATGATATTTATTGAACAATGTACAATTATTATTCAATGATTGTACATAATAACCCAATAAGAAAACAAACAAACAAGCTTATTTCACATTGACAATAATTAGTTAATTAATTAATTATAAATCGGATTGATATGTAGGAAAATTATTGATTTTTGAATATTGATCTTTATATCTTTTTTCATTGTTCAATATCCTCCTATAAGAATATTTATTGTCTTGCAAACAACTCTTTTAATTTTATCATTATAAATGAATGTTTTTTATATTGGAACAATCTTTGATTGCTTGAACTAAGAAGCATCACATACATCTGTGAACTCTTGATACCTACCTACCTACCTGCCGACCTACTCATACAACATCAAGTTATGTAATAGAGGTGAGATGAAAAATAATCTTTCATACAACTTTTTAAAAGAAACAATTTACAAATGCATAAATAAATCATATAAATCAATAAAGAGTGATAAGACAAAAAATAGAACAGAAAAAAAGAGAAAGAAAAGTTGAAGAAAAATCACTATACATATATAAATGTTGTTATTATTATTATTATTATTATTATTTAACTTTTCCTTCTTTTGATAAATTTGAAAAGAAATTAATTTTTAAAGCAATATCTGAACTTGAAATAGATGTGGGAGTTTTTGATTTAGTCGGAACTTTATGAAAATTATATGTATTACCAGTAGTAGTAGTTGTTGTTGAAGTTGTCGTCGTCGTCGCCGCCGCCGTAGTCGTCGTCGTCGTCGAGTTCATTATTGTCGTTTTACTATTACTACTACTAATCATATTTTTAGTAGTATCATTTGTTGTATTCAATGTAATTTTCGAATTATCCATTGATGATAATTTCTCTTTACCATTCATTGTATTCTCTGTTGATTTGTTTGTAAAAAATGATGAAGGAGGCTTTTTATCTTTTGATAGACTATTTTTTTTCTGAGTTTTAAATATTGATGATGAAATTGATGTGTCTTTTGGTTGTTGTTGTTTCGAACTGGTCATAGATGTTGTTGATATTTTTCTATTTGAATCTTCTTCACTGGTTACATCAATTTTAGGTATAATTATCAATGAACCACTATTCTCTGATGATGTTGATTGTTGACTAGTTTTATGCCGTTGAAAACGAAACATTTTCGTACTTTCTTTACGTTTCAATGTATTATTTGGTAAATCTAATTTATTTTTATTTGGTGATGTTGGATTTGATAAGTTTTCTGTTGTTGAATTATTATTATTGTCATCTTTACGTGTCTTGCCAAAGAAACTAGTTTTTCTAAATATACCTGAAGGTTTCTTCATTAGTTGTATTGTAGGTGAATTTTCTTTCTTAGCTGTTGTTGTTGTTGATGATCGAGATGGTGCTTGTGGTGGTGGTGGTGGTGGAGTTGGTGGACTATTTGATAAATTATATTTATGTTCAGTGACTTGTGGAAGTTTTGGTCGTTTTGTGTCATTTTTTTCAAATGATCTATTTCTATGATGTATATTATTTATACTTGAATGTCTTGTTGGCATATTTGGTGAATGTTGTAGTACAACACCCATACGTTGTAATGCTATAATTGCATTTACCGCTTTCTAAGAAAATTAAAACAAACCGGAGAATGAATATTGAAAAGGCATTTAAGGTTGTAATAAATTCACTTTGATATGAACAAAACTTGATTGGTTTCAATTAGAAACATTCATTATTATAACTGTGGTGTGAGCTACTTATAAGTAGTATATGACGTCAGTGTCAACGTAATGTCTGGCAGCAGAAGATGGGGGAAGATCAAGAAAGGAAGAGTGGGAACACAATGGAATTTGTATGAAACGCATTAATAGTGACAATGGATTGATGTTTTGCAACAGAAACAGTCCAGTTCGATATGATGAACTGATATTTTGCAAATTAACCGTTTACGATATGGTTTTCCTATTTTACTGAGTAACGCTGTAATTTTCGTTTAATAAAATTCGGTTGCCCCCACCTGTGTTCTCGTTCACTACATAAAAACCAATTGGACCAGTGTTTGTTTAACTGTACTTTTTGTCTATTACTAGTCTGTGCGCGCGCAAACTTTCTGTTCTTTTTTCGTTTCTCCATTTTGGCTTCACTGTAATTTCACCCATCTTTTCTGGCACAATTTCGGTGTTTTTTTTTCGATACCACGAAATTGCCAGTTGATATAGTCTCAGTGACGTGCTCGTAATTAGTGTAGTGAACGAGAACACAGGTGGGGCAACCGGGTTGTATTTAACGAAAATTACAAAGTTACTCAGTAAAATCGGAAAACCATGTCGTAAATCGTTCATTTGCAAAATATCAGTTCATCATATCGAACTGGACTGTTCCTGTTGCAAAACATCAATCCATTGTCACTCACTATTCATGCGTTTCATACAAATTCCATTGTGTTCTAACTCTTCCTTTCTTGATCTTCCCCCATCTTCTGCTGCCAGACATTACGTTGACATTCACGTCATATAGTACTTATAAGTAGCTCACACCACATTAGTATTTAATGGTGATCATATGAATGAAGCAAATATTGAAAAATCATTCAGTAAGCGCGGATTTTAAATCAATTCTAGTATTGTTGTTTTAGTCATTATGTTTATACTTTTGTATACCAAATGATAACAATATTTTGAAGTTTTCGAAAAGACAATTTAGTTTGATTGTTCTTTTAATAAATAGAATAATTATTACTAGACACGGGTTTGTGAAGATTGAAATTGAAATTCACATCATGTGAGACAAGAGATCATTACCTATTAATGACACTATAAGATGGTCATGTCATGTCGCGAATCCATTGAAGATCGGCATACAAACCAATCAAACTTCTCCTGTAGTTTGGAGAATAAGCTCTTTTCTTGAAACTAGGAGGTCATGTATTTGATCCTCCTAGGTGAAGTGGTGCGTGAAAACTGTTGAGGAATCCCTAGTAGTTCAAGATAGCATTCTGGTTTTCATTATTGGTTTGAGTAAGACTAGTTTGTGATGTAAACTATCAAATAAGTTTAATTATCTTGGAAGTTGTTATAAATTATAAGTGTTAAGTAGTTTTTTTGAAAAAAGGAAGTTGTTCGTAGATGGACACTAGAATTTCGAACGTACGTACATTAGTTCAGGTAGTAGTCTACGCCTACCAACATGGCTTAGTCCACTTTTCGGTGACTTCATAGATTTGTGCAATGTTTTGGTTTGTCCGCCCCTAGCTATCTTCCAGCCCACTCCTACACCACAAAACATCACTTGTCGACGCAGTCGGTGGTTGGGCATACGCAATACATGTGCCAACCACCTCAAATGATGGAGTTTCAATACTTTATCTATTGATCTACCATCGTTACTTAGTACTCGTTTCCTAAAGACAGCACTGCTTCGAAGACATCTATAATCGAATACTTATAACCTACGGATGTCCTCTACTCTTACCAGCCATGTTTCGCATCCATATAGTAGGACGGAGCGAACTGGACCTTTGAGGTGAACTACTCTTAAAGCTTTAGTGAGAAGCTACGACTAGTGGAATGAAATCACATCGAGCTTAATGTAAGTATTTACGACTGATTGATTATTGAGTGATAGCTATTGTCATGTTTATTTCGCTTTTTTGAACTGATTGTATCCCACCTATCAAGCTGTATCGTGTCCACTTGTAACAAGTGACTTGATATCTCGTTCACAATGCTGAGAAGTTAAATGGTTGGAGGTGACCAGTAGGAAACCAGGAACTTAGATTTTTTTGCCAACCGGTACTCATCAACAAGGTATACTTACAATCTTGAAAGAATTAAAGCAACCTCCAACGATCTAACATGACACACACACAAAGGGACACCTTTGTATGATTGTAACAAGTAAGAAATGTGTACCACTGGTTACTAATTAATTGACTGAAATGTAAATTATTTGTCTGAAGACCTGTCTAGTTGATGCTTAAATACTGAAGACTGAAGATTTCCTAATCTAGACGAGATATGTATCCAATGAAATGGAGTTTCCTTTTATCCCCAGTTTAAATTAGATAATCTCCATTAAAAAACACCTATTTTAACAATGACATTCATAATCAGAATACATTTCCAAATAAGATTTTAATTAGTATCTCAATATGTACACCAATAAATTCTATCAAACAATCACTTACTTGCCATTTACGTCGATAAACAAAATGTTTCAAACGTTTTTTACTAACTGTACCAGATCGTTTCGGCATTTTTTTCTTTTGCTATAGAACAAACAACATAGTTAAAGAAATCAGCGAAGAAATGTTCCAATAAAGAAATATTGATCAAAAGAATATCTTTGTAAAAGGCAATTTTCAGGCATAAACTCGATTGTGAATAGTAATTTTAAAATTTACATTCAGAGTGTGGTGCGCGCTACTTATAAGTAGTATATGACGTGAGTGTAAACGTAATGTCTGGCAGCACAAGATGGAGGAAGATCAAGAAAGGAAGAGTGGGAACACAATGGAATTTGTATGAAACGCATGAATAGTGAAATGCCAGACAATGGATTGAAGATTCACAAATTAACGGTTACGATATGGTTTTCCTATTTTACTGAGTAACTCTGTGATTTTCGTTAAATACAATTCGGTTGCCTTCACCTGTGTTCTCCTTCACTACAAGAGCTGATAGCTGGTACCGATAATCAGTTAATTTTTGGATCGATAGATTGTAGAATCATTGAGAATACTATTAATGATGTTCATTCAGTCATTGACTATCTAAACTTAGCAGCTCAATGTAAGACTTGTCATGAGTTAGAAAAGAAGTGTACTAGGTTCGACAGTCCCAATGTACACATGAATACTAAGATACAGGTACATTGAATCAACTAGTTCCAAATAGGATAAAGCAACAGTCTTAGATTCGTCCAGTAAAAGCAATCTATCTAAAATTCTGCTTTAAACAATTTCAATGATGCTGGTCATTGCTGTAAGGTAAGCATCACTTAACTATCTCATCAAGTAATAAAATAAGTCTATGCGACAGTTTGTCTTTTCTTGACAAATAATGATAATTAAAATTTTTTCTAAATGAATTCTATAATTCATGAATGCCGAATGGATAGGACACTAATTCAAGAAGTTCTTAATTATTGAATTGAGCCAATTGCAATAGCTGAAAACTATCCTATTGAGTCCTATGAGAGATGGATGATTGAAGACATTGGATGATATAATAGTACAGAGTCAGTGCAAATGCATTCACTCCTTGTTTTCTTCTAGATTCCTAGTTGTATTATTGTCCTGTGCTTATTTTTATTTCAATGCTTTGACATTTATCATGATAATTTTATCACAGGATGCTAGCACGGTTTGGTAATCCGAACAGATACACATCTATGTGACAACTAAGTGATCCAATAGAAAACTTCTGAAAAGCAGAACTCTATTAAATATCTATTTTATATTACTATGGATCTCCTTTGATCATCAATGAAGTAATAGATTGAAATCATGAGCCAATCATTGATAGACCGCCATTAAAAACCTGTAAGCACTGCACGACCGTCTCGTCCAACCATGGGTATCATCAGCAGTGCGCATCCACCACTCACATCACCTGAAGGATCCGAACCCAGGACCTTCGGTCCCAAGAGCGAACATTTAACCTCTGGACCACTAAGCAGGCATCTAAGAGTACGAATATCTAACTCTGATCAATCAAGGGATTTTGCTCGATCTCACCCGTTTGTCACTGGTAGTTACTGCCTACACCCGAACATGGTTGAACTCCACTGGTCACGTCTTCTCACTAGGACTTTGAGAATTTTCTTACGGAGCTAGTCATTAGTGATCGGAGTTGATCAGAGTTAAACATTAACACCATTGGATGCCGGCACAGTGGTCCAGGGGTTAGGCTTTCGCACATATAAACCGAGTGTCCTGGGTTCAAATCCTGCGAGTGGCAGGGGTCGTGGATGTTCGCTGCTGAAGAGTCTCATCGTAGGACCAAATGGCCGTCCAGCGCTTCCAGGTTTCTAATGGTAGTCCAACAATGATTGATTAGTGGTTTCAATGTGTAAAAGCACTGATCTAATTGAAATGTGCCAACAACAACAAATCTGCAATTATTACTGCTCGGTAAAATGAACTGTAGAGATTAGTTCAATGTGAAGCTATTGAGTGAGTGAGTGAGTGAGGAAGAGAGAGATAGAGATGAGAGAGGCATTTTTCAATAATTTTCCAGTTGAACATCAGTCTAATCTTGTAAGACTTCACTTATTTTCATTGATTATGTTTTCGAAAAAGAATAAAATACTACTTGTTTTTTCTTACTGATTACAGAATAAAACAGTATTATACACATAATAAAAATAATCACCTTTAACCATTGATGTTGCAGACATTCACTAGCTGTCATTCGTTTTCTGTGATTGAAAAACAAAAACACAAATTGAACGGAAAAATAAATTATACATTTTGCATTGATTGTGAATTTTCACTTAACTATGGAATAGAATTAACAGTTGAAAAAAGTGGTTTTACTGGTTTCACTTTCAGCATTAAAAAGTCAATTTTAACATTACTCTTGATATATGTTGATGTGCGTGTTGAAAAATATATATGTGACTTATCTATCATGTAGAAGTTTATGTGTATACTTACTTTGCTTTAATCTACACAATTTTCGTGCGTACAATACTTACTTACTTACTTACACCTGTTACCACCGATGGAGCGTAGGCCGCCGACCTATGTTCTCCAACCTGGGCTTTGCTTTCTAGTTCTGTCCAATTAATGTTCATTCTCCTCATGTCTTTCTCTATTTCTTGGTGTTAAGTGTTCCTTGGCCTTCCTCTTTTCCTTTTACCTTGAGGGTTCCAAGTGACGGCTTGTCTTATGACGCAGTTGGGTGCTTTCGTTAATGTTTTTCCTATCCACTTCCAGTGCTTCTTCCTGATTTCCTCCTCCACTTCAATCTGGTTTGTTCTCTCCCACAGTTCGTTGTTGCTGATAGTGTCTGGCCAACGAATCCGAAGTATTTTGCGTAGACAACTGTTAATAAACACTTGTATCTTCTGGATGATGTCTTTCGTAGTTCTCCAAGTTTCCGCCCTATACAGCTGAACTGTCTTGACATTTGTACTGATAATTTTGACTTTGGTGTGTGTTGATAGTTGTACAATAAGGCTAGTGATAATATTCAGCTGTTTGAGGTGAAGTAAATGGAGTTACAATATGTAACTCTGTGATTTCTTCGTTTGGTTACCTGATTAAATGTTTGGGTCATCTATTCCTGAACTGTAAAAATATTACTATGTCTGTTT